TTTAAATATATTAAAGACAACACAGATATTAACTTCCAATGTCAAATAATAATTAATAATGAGTCAGACTTTATGGAAACATTTGCCATTTAGCTAAGTCATTAGATGTCATTTGTTCAGTGTACGAAGTTAATTACATGTACGAGATAGCATAACGATTGGTTGCCATTAAGAAAATATAAATAAATATTAAATTGCAAGCAAAATAACCTCAGCTGTTGTTAAATGCTGTTCTATTCTCGTACAAAAACAAAAATATGTTATGAATAAAAGAACTTTTTCATCTTGTACTCCATTTCCATTACTGAGAAGTATTAGAGGTACAGACTGCTTTGAGCACGGCCCGAGGGATCTTGAGATATGAAGAGCTAAAAGCCACATGAGAATCGCTTCAGCGTACGATTTAGTTCTTAGAACGGTAACTTTATAGCAGGAAGGGCTGAAACTATCCTACCGACGACGACAAATGACGTCGGTTCACTCGGAGTTTTAATTACAAATAAAGATGCTTGTAATGATTACTAAGGCATCTTAAACTGCTTCTCTGAACAGACTGAGGGTTTTTCGAAAAAGAATGCTGATTAGATTATCTGGCCCTAGAAGAGAAAATTTAGCATAAGACTGGATAAGTGGCATAATAAAAATATTCATAATTTATACTCGCTCAGAGAACATGATAACATCTGCGATAATTGGATGGGAAATGCGTGTAGAAAGACTTGAGAGATTTTAAAACGGATACAAACTTTTAGTCCTAACACCTAAAGGAAAGTTAGGAAATTAGTAAGTAGAAAAAAAAACATAAATAGGATGTAAAAATATGGATTGAGTTCACATGTATCAAGAATGCTTCTAATCGTTAGTAAAAGAGCTCAAATCGTTTCTCTTCACAGACTAAGGTTGCTTGAAAAAGGATGCTGAGAAGACTTTGTGTGTGCTTGTGGGAAAATAGACGAACAAAAAATATCATAACCTTAGAATTCGAATTATCAAAAGTGAGCGGACACAATTTTCCCAGACCATCTGATGGCCCCCAAAACTGTAACCTTTTCTATAAGACCCCTTAGCAAGGCACTGGATTTGATAACTGCCTGATCTACATTAACATTACTTTGTGTTGGAGTCACACGAGTGTTATGCAGTTTTACTGTCACCAAATGGTCAGCGGCCTTCGGATTTTCGATTTGGGAATCACTGGCGTATTTATAACATCCTATATAAATTAGTTCTCAAGCATATTTTTATCAAGAGATGGCATTAGGTCCAGCACCAGGGCCCTTTGTAAATAAACTCAAGAATCTTTCTTAACAGCAGTTTGTAAATGTAAAACATAAGGTAAATTAATACCTAAATATGAACAAAAGGTTTTGCAATTTTTGGTTATAACACCGTGATGAGTTTCGAAAATTAATTCTTACGATATAGTCAGACGTTGTAAGTTCTGTAACAATCTATTTCTATGAGAGTATTCTGTTTTGAATCCCGGAAATTGACCCCAAATCTGTTACGTTCTAAACTAACGCATTAATACATAAATCTGAACACATTTAATTAATTTCCTGTTGGATAACAATAGAACGAAGAACCAACATAAGTAGAGGACTCTTAACCTTGTGTTTAAATTATTACATACCTGATAAATCTTCACACAGTTCTCTCTGTACCGCCTTCACTTCACTCGCAGTTATCCTGAAAAGCGTAAACTGAATAAGTAACAATAATAAATTAACAAACACCCTAAATATATCACATTAAAATTACATTATATCTTAGGCCTATTTCATTGTCATGCAAGTAACAGGAGAAAACGGCAAGATGATGCCATAAGATAAATTATCGAGTTTCTTTGGGGCACATCTCATATAAATACGTACTTATGCCAAAGGCTCTATCAATGTCATTTATTTCGACGGTACCTACGACCGCCCTTGGGACTCTAAACGGGTCTGCAGTTCAGCCCAAGATCATAACATCTTAACATTCTTGTTTTCTTACTACACATTAGTGCAGATAAGAAAAATAGTAGTTCTTTAAACAAAATTAATTAAATTGAAACTTTCTTTTTACAACGCCGTCAGCTCTATAAGATTAAGGAATCTGTACCTATCTGTAGAGCATCTGTATTATTGAAAATTAGAGAAGGTGTCTAATACAAACTTTATGTATAAACTGAGGGCTTTTGTAATTAAATTCCTGGGTCCTCACGCAACTTTGCTGGAGAGATCAGAGCCGTAGTAGCAGACATATTGCATTTTAGAACAAGCACCAACCAGCGACATTTTTTTTGTTTTTTTGTAGTGGTAAGTTTCATCTCAGAAGCCGTGGTTTCTTTAATATGGGTCTAACCCATATTAAAGAGAGAATGTATCGCTGCTCAGGGATGTCAATGCTGCAACTGTGTCCCTTCTTCGTGCAGTTGCTTCATGGTGAAACGAAAGGACATAGCACCCGATATATTTCTAATCTCACCTTTATTGCAGTGATTTAACATCTTTGCGCTAACTGTTAGCGTAAGACTGAATTCTAACTAAGCGTAATTCATACTGAATAGTCTAATTATCCCATCCACTATCGCAAACGCCACTGATTTTAAGTACAATTCACATATATGGAATCACATTTTACAATCTTATCAGACAGGCATAAATAATGCATTGTACTCTTAATTGTTTCGAAGTCCAGGGCATAAATACTAGTATAACTAACAAACGTCATGAAGCAGAGTCCTTCATAAACAGACGTTACGTTCAGCTGCTCACGAAATTAGCCGACTTTTATGGAAGCCGAAGTTTCGCTATCATTTTGAAAATTGCTTGCCATCTGTCGCTACCCTGAAACAGGTGAGTCCAGTCCACACAATTGGACACAGTTCCCTAAAATAAATTAATAAGTACGCCAAAGTCTTCCGAAATTTATGTTTTCCAACAAAAATTTTGTTTGCATTTTTCTTCTCCTCATGTACCCTATATAAACCCACCATTTTATACTCCTTGCATCTATTATCGTAATAATATTTGGTGCAGAGCACAAGCAAAGCTGCTCGCTGCACATCTCTATGCAGTTACTTCCAGTCCCCTCTAGCTTCATCCCTCCTAGGACTTTCCGTATTTTAAAATTAATAATAGTTCAATTCCTTTATTAGAGTGTTTGCCAACAACAAAGAACCTATGACAAGCAAACACTAATAAATATACACATTAAACAAAAAGTCGTGAAAACAAAAATAAACTGATTGCATATAATCTTATGTCCACAAATCTGCAAATGTAATTTAATCAATGACACGCCTAGCTGAAGAATTGTCTTAGTGTACTTCTCAGGCCTCCATCAAGAGTCTAGTCTCGACAGAACGGCCGTTCTGCAGGATGTAGATTTTACCACACTCGAAGGTCTTGAACGTCGGTAAACTTCTACCAAAATACACGGTGCTACAACCCAGACGACAGCCATATTTGTGAGAACCCCAAATCCTACGAAGTAGTTAGATACAACGCTAAGTCAATTTTTGAAACAAGAATGCGAGAGGTTGTTATGCATTAATTCGTGTGACGGAGGGGGAAAAAACATTTAACAAGTTTCGTCATCTGGAAAATAAGACACATGTACCAAAATTATACAATTAATATATTATCCAGTGTGGCGCCAATGGCTAGACACGTGCTAGGTAGACGCTGAATCAATTTTTCCACAAATCATGGACGTTCAACAACGATTAAATTAAATTACCTATGGACGTTCACATGCCGCATTCATATTACGAAATAAATATATATCATAGTGGAGCTATAAACGTATATTAACAACCTAAAGATGAACACGAAAGTATTGATTTTTGGCTCTTTTTGGCTTATATTTCTAACTATCTACTATTTTAAATTTCGATATGGCTGGTAAAATTGTTCCATAATTTATATTAAAATAAGCAAGCCTCTAATTCAGCATTTCTTTCCGTTGCATATTAAGCGCTCTAGCTACAAAACAGGGCTCAGGAAAATCCCGTTACACCCTAGTGCTCGGGGGCTTTTTCACTTGTGTATGACTACTGTTATTATTTGAGTACGCACGGGTATCGTTAAAGAATGGCCGGCTGTTCGATAAGTGCCACGATTCGGGGAAATACGAAATTACACTGGCTATTCCACGGGCACGTTTCAGTATTAAAGGGAAGAACTCGCACATCACAACAACAAAAAATATCCTATAGCTTCACACCTTTCTTTAACAGCAGATATGTATCTTCCTGTGCGTTTGGCAGACTTTTGTAGCCGTTTAAAGTGTTAAATTCGTACCTATCCTTGGTCGTGTTTACATTTACACTTACGTTTATATTGAAATGGTGTCACCCGAGTTTACCTCGTGTTAGCGCCAATAATGTAGGGAGCCGATGAGATTTACAATTTTCAAAATGGAAATAAAAACTTCGGTGTTTCTGTCAATCCTAATATGATTTTAAATCTTACCTGAGAGAGCATCAAGATGCAGACGAAGTACAGACTAAAATTTAAGCATATTTTCAATTATATATACATATTAGAAACTTACGCTTTCCAAATTTTTGGGAATCTTCCGTAGTTGCAAACATTCACATAATATATTAAATTATTTAAATTATGTATTTATAGCTATAATTTTTTTACGCATTACGCCTTTCTGCTGTTGAACAATTAGTTAAGAGTGGAAACTTGTTGTTCAAACTAGTGAATACATATTTTTCAAACATATTTATGTGACGCATTACCTCATATATTTATTTTATTCCTCTCCAGTGTTTCAATGTCAATTACGGATGCAAATATCAAACAGAATACTGCAATAATTAAACAATTCGCTCTTAGTTTTAAATACCTGTACGCTTTTAAGAGGGTCCGAGAAAACCAACGGTGACCGGAATTGAATCGGTCACATCAGCCTTTATTCTACGCTGATCTTATTTGTTTATAGATTTTGAAGAAGATTCACAAATATTCTTTCGTTTCGGTTTTGTTCTGCCTATTTCACGTAAAAAATTATGAACACTCGTAACACATATAAAAACTTGTATGACATCTACACGACACTTTTAATTTTGTTCACGTTCATTCACTTACAGATTTTATCTATCCGTCAGAGCACACTAGAATCTGTTATTTAGAAAGACAGATATGACTCTTTGGAATTCATGCTGACTATGGATAACAAACCAATGCAAGTGTCGTCCGTGGTCTTACATCCAAACGAAGCCCTCCTTAAAGAATATGATTTTGTGGAGCCATGCTTCTGAAGCAGTACTTCCTGTTTCTGGGTGTTCATTTATTTCTCCGTCTTTCTTATTCTCACGCAGTCACGAACGCTGTCAGTTCCTTGAAACATTATTACTCTATGACTGTGATATGGAAATATCATACTCTGAATTTAGATACAGCAGCCAAAAACAGTAGCAAACAAGTTTCTATTATTTAATCTTAAAACATCGCAATTTTCTAATTATTATATTTATTTTATTTTAATTTTATGGCGTAACTACAATTTTATATTGTTTATTTTTAATAACATTTCTGTAGTTTCTCAAGTATGGAGGTTTTAGAGCATACAACTCAGATGTAGAACTTCATTTCACATTTGCAGATACAATAAGTTTATGTAAATTATATTTAAAAATTCACTTTATACAACAAAGAAAGCGCTATGCATTTCAAATGCAATGATCAATTGGTTAACGCTATTTAGGAGAATAACAGCTGTTTATCGATTTTATAATACAGCATCCCGTTGTGTTGCTTTACAGATACTTGATCTTTGTTGGTGGCTGTCTTCTTGGCTGAAGCGCCACTCTGGCAGATGTTTACCAAAGTTTCAGCGGTCCTTGCTGCTTCCTCCATCACAAACCTGACCTCTGAAAGGATGGCAAACTCCTATGAGACTACACTGCCCAACAGTCCAGAAGACAGCCATCTTCGTACTCACCGATATGAAAACCTTAAATTCTACTTTGATATTTATTATTACCATTCCTTTCACACACACACCATCTTATCACTGTTTATTCTGATAATTATTTAAACATAAACGCATTCAGTGGGCATAACGCAAAAATACCTAATGTTAAAGCGTGTTGTCCACACTGACCCCTGTGCTTTAAAGCGTTGAAAACATGTGGTATAGGGATGCTAACTACCAACTTGTGGTGGGTAAATTTCCTCTCCTTTTACGCGTCCTTACACGATGTACCTCAGTTCTACCACGACCCGTTTAGTTTAAGTGGCGAAAACCACTGCAGATCTAGCACGATTGTTAAAACCACTATCGCATTAGCATTAAGCTAATGCCCGACAATAATGATAACTTGCTATTGGAACGTACTCAATTTCGTTCACTTAATCGAAACCATACCCGAGTTTATCAACACTGTATTACTCAAAATATAAAAATAAGCTACACGTATCTATGAAAAGTGTCTATACTTTCTAATCTTATGGCCCTCGGCAATGCACGGTTATTTATTAGTACAAGAGATAGCTTTTTACGTTCCACTTTTCTACCAACACTAAGGCAAATTTTAGTTTCGAACCTTGTTTTTATCGTAACCATTTAATCTCACACTATGATCTTTATTGTGTGTTTTTAAAACACCATCTATGGTTACAATAATAATGGTGGAAATAAATTATTCAAGAACTTAGCTTCAGAGAGAGACAAACACACCGAGAGAA